TGGTGAGTGGTGGCATGTGGGTGCTGGTGGTGGTGGGTGAGTGGGTGACGGTGGCGGGTGGTGGGTGGTAGCGAGTGGATGGTGGTGGTGGTGGCGGTGGTGGTGGTGGCGGTGACAGGTGGGTGGCGGATGGCGGGTGGTGGCGAGTAGGTGGTGGGTGGTAGCGAGTGGGTGGTGGTGGCAGGTGGGTGGCGAATGACGGGTGGTGGTGAGTGGTGATGGTGGGTAGATGGGTGATGATGGCGGGTGGTGGTGTAGGAGTGGTGGCGAGTGGTGGGTGGGTTGGTGGATGGCGGTGGGATGGTCAGTGGATGGTGACGATAGCGGGTGGTAGTGGCTAGCGATTGGTGGCGGGCTGGTGGATTGGTGGTCGGCAGGTTGGGTGCGACTGGCAGTGATTAGTGGGTGGTGGCAGTGATTAGGGTGTGGGCTGTGGAGTGGTATGGTGGTGGTGGGTGGGGGTGTGGTGACGAGTGTGGGCTGTAGTGGGGCGCGGGTGCGCTGGTGGTGGCAGGTGGGTGGGCAGGCGACGGTGGGCGTGACCGGCTTGTGTTGTTGAGGTGTGGGTGCGGCGTGGTGGCAAGTGGCTGGTGGCTTGGTGTGGTGGTGGTGGGTAGTCGATGGCGGCGGTGTGGAGTGGCGGTTAGCAGGTGGGTGGTGCGTGGTGCGTGGTGGTGCGAGTGGTAGCGGTGGTGTGGATAGTAGTGGGGTGGAATGGCAGGTGGGTGTGGTGTGTGGTGGGTAAAGTGTGCGAGGGGTGAGTGGTGGTGGCGAGTGGGTTGTTGGTGGCAGAGAGACGTGGTGGAAAATGGTGGCGGGGGGTGGCTAGTGTTGGGTGGTAAAAAAAAAAAAAAACTCAAAACTCAAAACAGAAACACATTTTTTAAGGTTACATTTTTGGCCAAATTTATAAACTGCAACCACTGATTTATAAATAAAAAATTTACCAAACAAGTTTTTATTTGAGTTTTTAAAATTTTTGTAAATATAAACTGAAAACGTAAGCGTTACCAAACGGCACCTTAATGTGTGGTTGAGATTAAAAGTGAATTTTACTATATAAAAATTGAATATGGATCATATATTGTTTTTTTTAATATATTTTTGGATACTTTTGTATAACTATCAAAGACTATTGTAATCACATGTTACTTGTTATTTGATATATTATTGTTGTATGATCGTAATGAATTTTATTATTAATGTCTATTATTAATACAATGGTGAGACGTCACATGATAAATAAAAATATTTTTTGTTATTATTATTATTATTGATAATATATTGCTTTATTTACCTTTTTACAATGTTTAAAAAATTAATTTATAGTTATTGTTAGTTTTTGTAGATGAGAAGTCAAAAATAAATTTTAACCAAATTCAAGCTATAACTAATTTGACATTGAAAAAGAAAATTCAAAACAAATTATAATTACATATAATTTTAAAATATTTTTTAAAAAAAATACAAGGAAAAATTGGAACTATAAATTAAAATTATCAAACAATCTAATTCTATGAAAAAATTTAAATGAAAAATTGATCAAATTTAAATTTATAATTATTAAATATTTTTAATAAGCCATTAATTTTTTATTCAGGTTCTAGCTTGATTTGGTCTTAAATAGTTTTTCAGATATAAATATATCTATCAATATTAGACATATTTTAAGAATGGTAAATTATATCGATAGTCCCCGCATTTTGTCTCTTCTGTCAATTTAGTCTCTATAATTTCAATTAGTTTGATTTTTATCCCTAATTTAGATTTTATATTAATTTGGTCCAATTAATAATGCTGGTTAAGATTTTTGAAAGAAAATAATTATTGAGTTGATTGAGATTAACTTATTGAGTTGAACAAGTTTATAATTTTATCTATAAAAGTATAACAGATACTACTCATGTGTGCATTTTCAAAAAAAAAAAAAAAAAAAACTACCAATTATAACAATTGGACCAAATTGAGACAAAGTTATAAATTTAGGATCAAAATTCAGTAAATTAAAATTGCAAGGACAAAAATAACACAAGAATTAAAGTATAGGGATTACTACTGTAATTTATCTTTTTAAGAATAAGTACATAATTTCTTAATTAATTTTAAAATTGTTAATAAATATATCAAACAAATATGTACATATTTCCTATTTTTGCTATAATTTTTTTAAAAATATATATTTACTAATTAAAAATTAAATAAATAGGTAGGTCTACTAACTCATGGATTGAACATAAACTAGACGATTCTCCAAGGATTAGGCTTAAATAAAAAATTATTGGCAAAAAAAATCGACTTGAACTAAATTTTGGTGGCTACTTTTTAGTGTTTTATTCAATATTAGAACTCCAAATTAGCTCAAATCAATCACGAACTGATAAACTATGATATAATTTAAATATAAAATTTAAATTTATTAGAACTAGAATATGACCTACAGTTTGGGGTGACTTTATCTTAAATAATGTTTTTATACATAAATATATTCATTTAATTGTTGTAAACATAAATATGCAATTTTTTTTAACCTATAGTTCAAATTTTTTAATAAATATGCATAAAATAAGTCTATATTTCTTATTTTTATTACAAAAAAATATTTACAAATATTTATTTACTAATTTAATAAATAGGTAGATCAAATGATTCATATAAGTTAGGAACAGAACAAGATAATTTTTAATGATTAGGTGAATGACAAGTTAGTGTAAATCTAATATTAAGCCCAAATTTAATATCACAAGTGAATTCTAATTCATTTTTATATGAATCTTGTAATATAAGATAAATTATACTTTTTAGACTTCAAAAAATATAAAAAAAAATTACTATATTGACAAATATAATTTGCCACTATCATATAATAAATTAAATTTAAGAAACTTATGAGACGAAATGTATTTATATTTTTTCATAAATATAATTTTTGTAATTTATTTTTTAATTTTTGTCACTTATATTGTGACATATATTTTGTTATTAAGAATTTAGAATATACAACTAATGACATAAGAATAATAAAAAAAAAACTCTTATATATAACTGTAATAAAAATAAATAAAATTTAATTAATTTTAAATATTTTTACTAAATATTGTAAATAAAATTTTTAGACTATTATTTAATTTTAAAAATTAATTTTTAATTATTTATTTATACCCATACATAAGGCGGATAATTATGCTAGTCTATACTATATATTAAACAGAATGAGATTTTTAACCCCAAACCTTGTGGGAGCTCTAATCTCCCAATCTAAATTTCCTGATTTTTTTTAAAAAAAAAAAAAAAACTTAGCATTTATTAACTTCTCCCAACCCCCAAGTCTTACCCTCATAATAACACTTTAATGCTCAAAATATTAAACTTTAATATAATATAATAATAATAAAAAAGACATTCTTTAAAAAGTCTAATACATATGATTATTATCAAAATATTAAACTTTAATATAATATAATAATAATAAAAAAGACATTCTTTAAAAAGTCTAATACATATGATTATTATCAAAATATTAAACTTTAATATAATATAATAATAATAAAAAAGACATTCTTTAAAAAGTCTAATGCATATGATTATTATCAAAATATTAAACTTTAATATAATATAAAAAAAATAAGACATTTAAAAAAAAGAAAAGAAAAAAAGACATTTAAAAATCGCAATTCACATATGTAAATAATTATAAACACAATTCGTACATAGCATGGGTGATATGCTAGTACTATATATTAAGCAAAATGAGATTTTTAACCCCCAAAGCCTGTGGGAGTTTCAATATCCCAATATGAATTTTCTAAATTTTTTATTAAAAAATAAATAAAAATTCAGCATTTATTGATTTGGTCAAAATCCCCCGATCAGCATTTATTAACTTTTTTCAATCCATATGTCTTTCTACATGCCTGCATTTATTGATTTGGTTAAAATTTCCTGATTGGCATTTAAAATCCTCTCATACAAATAATTATAAATACAACCCGTGTATAGTTACTGCAGTACCTTTTTCAACTTTTCTCATACACTATGATTAGTGATAAGATTGTTAAACTATTTTTACAAAAAATCTCAAAAAACATAATTTATATATTAAAAAAATCTAACACAAATATAAATATCTATAATTATCTCGTGCATAGTATGAGTGATAGACTAGTACTTTAGGAGTTGTTTAAAATAACCTAAATAAGTACATTTTTTATCTTTTTACGAAAAGATGTATAAAAAAATAAAAAAATAATGTAATAAAAAAAATAAAAAAATAAATTATTTTTGGATTGTCAAACTTGAGCTAAGTGACTGGAAAGAACTAAGTGACTGGAAAGAAGGAAACTTTTGTCTTATGCATTGACCAACTAAGAGGAGCAAGGATCCTCTAGAGTGATTTTTTCCTAAAGTTTCTTAAAGTTCTACAGTGTATGGTTGAGATTTACTGGCAAGTCACATCAATTTTTCTGATGTGACTTGCCAATAAATCTCAACCATACACTGTAGCACTTTAGGAAACTTTAGGGAAATTTCACTCTAGAGGATCCATGGTGAACTAAGAGCAGAACAACTTGAAGAATTGGTTATGTGAAAGAATGGAGAAATTTTTGAGTGCGGATAAGGTAAATATCACGTGATATCTTCCTCTTCTCTTATTGATTGAAAAAATAAAAATTATATTTATGTATTAAATGATAAAAAAACAACATAAAAAAATATATTTTTGTGATTAGTTAAAGATATCATATAATATACCACATGACATCCCATTTGCATCCAAGAATTTTTCGAAAGAATCAGAATTAGAAGTCTGCAAAACATGATAAGGATATGGGACAGACTTGGCCCCTTTGTTGTAATTTAATTCCTGATGTAACCCAAAAAAATTATATTTGTCCTAACAAAGCCAAGATTGCCGAAGAAAAAGCTAAAAGATTGTCCAAGGAAAAGATAATCCCAAAAAAAATATCCAAAATGGTGGACCATGTACACCAAACACACCAAAGGAAAAGGACAAACACATTGAATTTATTTATGTAATAATGAAAGCAGCTCATCACAACCGTCCACGGCAGATCATACACTGAAAAGGACTCGCTCACACCATCAAACCGTTCCAATCAAAAACACCTTAGCATAACTCCCACTCACAAACATAGTCAGGACACGTAATCACAAAACACCATTCGCAACCACCACGACACGTGGCGGGCATTGAAAAGGAAAGGACACTATTTACATGCACCAGTCGGTAACGCTCTCTCCCCCTCTCTCTCTCCTCTCAGCGATGCTTGCTTCTAGTCTCCGCACTGTAGAGCCTGTGATGCATAAAACATGTCAAAACCAAAAGAACAAATCATGACCGTCCAAAACAAAAAGTCAGGCAATCTAACTGCTTAATATGCATGAATGTAGTCTAGTCTGGGAGTTGTGTACACGCGCCAATAAGAGCGAGTGGAGAGTAGTTGGCTAAAGTTTTGTTAAGTACAATCATTGCCGGCGCGTGAATCACGCGCTTCACTTACCTCATCTGGTGAGTGCTATCGATCTAAAGCCAAGAGTGTCCAATGGAGGGTCCTGATTAAATCAGCCCAACAATTCAATAATTGAGATATACCTGACTTGAATGTAATTCTATGCAAGAATAAGCCCTTTAAAAAAAAGATTAATAAAATACAGTTGGTTTTCAATAGTTATCCTTTGCTGTTTTTGTGACAGAAATTCTATAATACATCCTTTAAAAAAGTAGGTATTATTGGTCTCACTTATAATTTTTGTAGGCCTAATTTAAGAATTTAGTTAAAAATTAATTTTAAAATTTTAATCTATTTTAAATCATATCAAAATCTTTACTTTTTTTTTTATATATTTCTTTAAAAAAAATTAAAAAAAGTTAAACCCAGCTTTCAATCAACTTTCCAAAACAAGCGGGGTAATATTTCATTATGATTTAGTGAGGTATTGATTATATTTGTTATAACTCAACTATAATATCTTGTAAATTATTATTTTGGTAATGGTAGAAATTTTTATAATCACTTAATTATACTTTAATTATAATTATGATCCAACCTGTCATTCATTATGCGTTATAATTTTTATGTTATAACAGAAAGTGATTTCGAGGGGTGTGTATGGCAGAAGGGTTTTTTAAAGGAAAAATACCACTTCGGTAAAATTTGGAAAAAAAATATATGCTTATTAGGGAAAAACTTTACTAACATTAAATGATAAATTTATAATTTTTCCACCAAATTGAAATTATTCTATAAAATTTCCAGTGAAATTTATTTTCCCTTTTTTAAATATAAATATCTAAAAATATCTAAACACACAAAAAGTCGTAGAGAGAGCACGCGCTGTTCAAGGCTAATGAAAGCACGGGGTGATCCACGCGCTAATCACATTCCATCATCCCATACTACCCTGCTCCGTTTGGTCCGTTTGGTGTAGCTGTTAAAACAACTTATAAATTATAAGTTAATAGATTATAGATTATGACTTTAATTAAAAATTGTTCATCTGTTTAGTGTAACTGTTGGATTATAGATTTAATTTGCTGAGTAGTGTTTGTTAAATAAATTGTGAAATAATTTTTTTAATTAATTTTTATTTTTTGTTTGTCTACATTTCTCATAAAAAATAATAATAATAATCTATAATCCATTTGAATCTTTTCCTATTTTTAAAAAAATAACAAATAAAAAAATTTAAGAGTATAACCATAAATTAACATGTCCACAGCAGAAGCTGATAATCAGAAGTAAGGGATGAGCAACTTCTCAGAATCAGCTTTTTTGAGTTAAAATAAGCTGTTAGAACCAGAAGCTGTTTGAAATAAGTTTAACCAAGCAGTCCAAAATAATTTTTTTTAAACTAAAAGCTATAAATTAGCTCTGAAAAGCTTAAACAAACACCCCTATGCTAGTGGAAAATTATTAAGGGTATGTTTGGTTTGAGTTTGAGAGAAGAGTTTTTAGAGATAAAAAGTACGAAAAGTTTTTGGTTTGGTTTTTTTCAAAAGATATTTTGAAAAATTATTTTGAAAGAGAATTCTAAAAAAAGTGATTGATTTGATGTGTATAAGAGAGATTTGTTTAGAAAATTTATAAACCAAACAACTTTTGAAAAAATTTTTTTGGAAAATTTATTTGATTTGATTACTTTTGAAAACTTATTTGTAAAGAATTTTTCTCAAAAATTTTTGAGAAACACAAACCAAACAAGGCTTAAATATTTTCAAAATACACGTGTCATTTAATATTTTTTTTTATATTTTTCAACCATCCAACATAATATCTTGAAAAATGCTTGAGAGCACTAAAAAATAAATCCCTATCCCTGCTCTTCATCAATTAAAATACTATAAAATATACGGTTCATATTCCGAAATTGCAGAATAATTAGTTATCCTCATTTTTTTTTTTTTTGTTAGAAACATCATGCAAGTGATCCTTGTAATGCTACATAGAGTACGTACCAGTCATAAACAGTGGGAGAGTTTGGGTGTGGCTTGTCGAACATCTCAGCACCAATACGCTTCGTCGCAATGTTGCTACCTGGGTGAAACACACTTCTCCACACGTTATCTTTACGCGCCGCCGTTGGTGACGGTGTTGTCGGCGTCATCGGCGTCACCGGACTCGCCGGCATCGACAACGACCTCTGAATCGTACTCCCCTCTCCTTCATCTACCAGAATATCATGTAATTAATCAGATCAACAAATTTATAAACACAGAATTAATCAAGTAAAATATAAATGAAGCAACTCCACTAAAATTGTATGTTTTTTTGATGAATTTCATGATGTTACATGTATGATTAAAATTATTTTATATAATTTATTATTTGTTGAATACATCTTTTGTTTTTTTAAAATAATCAATAATCAATAACTATTAAATTGTGTTATATTGATTAATCAAACACTATTATTTATTAAATTGTATCATCGCATCTTTTTCACTCCAGCAGAAACAAATAATTCTTTTCAAAGCACTCATCGTCTCAAGAACATCAATTTTGAGAGGATTTTTTACGAGATCTAAGAGTTTTGAGATACACAAAAAAGCTTAATTATTTTTTTAATCCCTTAATTTATATTATTTAAATTGTGTTAATTTAATTTTTAATATATAAAAAATATTTCAATTAGATCTCATCAGAATCTAACTCCTCTAATAGATTCCACTAAAATTAGAATTAAATGTGAAAACTCAATTAAAAAAATTACAATCCACAAAGTATATGATCTATTTTATTTTTATTCGTAATATTTAGATTATATTAATTTAATCCTTAGGCTCCGTTTAAGTTATAATATCACTTTCTATTATTTTTATTTATCTTCACAAAAAAAATCAAAAAATTAATTAAAATAATCAATTCTCAAACTGCGTTTAACTGTAAATAAGGGAAGAGAAGAGAGGAGGAGAAGAGAAGAGGCTTAACACCTTTGATGTTAAGAGGAGTAGGGATCTTCCTGAGCTTCTCGAGGCCTCGTTCAGGGTGAGGTCCTGCCATAACATCATCCCAAATCTTGTCTAACAAAACCATCTTCAAACTCTCACTCACTACTCACTACTCACTACTCTCTTCTTCTTCTTTCAATCTAGATCTGGTTCTACTACTTATAAATAGAGGTTGGTGCTTTAAAATCTCCAACTAGACAAAAATCGGAAATTTTGAAGATGGGTTTTCACTATTTCCAGGTGTAGAATCCATAGGGGTTGTTTGGCAGACGTAAGAACCGGGTCAACTAATGATTCAGCTCATTAAAAGTTGATAAATTTATTTTTTTTTTTTTTAATTTTTGTGATAATCACCTTATTTAAATAATTTATAATCACCAAACACTCCAGCATAATTTACAAACAAATAAAGATTTGGTGAATTATTGGAGAAGTCATCAGACTTAGGGCTGTGCAAAATACTGCACTATTCGTTAAAATCGCATCAATTTATATTAATTCGCACCGCTCTAACCGTTAATTGCAGTTTAAACTTTAAAATTTATAATTTGTCAATTAAACCGCTCCGCTTCGTTATAGTTAATACATATATATTTTTTAACTTCCAATAAAATATCAATGTAAAAATAAATGTGAGAGAAATTTAAGATATAAAATTTATTACAAATTAGTGATTATATATATGAAATATATTATGTAAAATTATTGTGTTATATATCTAAAAAATGTTATACAGATTAGTGTTATATATTATGCAAATGTATGATAATTAGTTAAATATTTTTCAATTCGCTAATTCGTTAAAAACCGTTCAAACCGCAATTTGTCAATCCTCTAATCCGCTAATTTGTCATTTGATTTTTAATTTTACTTTCAAACCGTCCGAACTGCACTGCGCACACACTTAATTAGACCGTGTTTTGATTGTAGATTTAGATAAAAATTTAAAAAAGAAAAGGAAAAATGTGAGTGAAGTATAACTAATTTTATTCACATTATATATATATATATATATATATTTTTTATTTTCCTTCTTATATCACTATCAAAATGTTTTACAGATTAGTGTTATATATTATGCAAATGTGTGATAATTAGTTAAATATTTTTCAATCCGTTAATTCGCCAAAAACCGTCCAAACCGCAATTTGTCAATCCTCTAATCCGCTAACTTGTCATTCGATTTGTAATTTTACTTTCAAATCGTCCGAACTGCACTGCGCACACACTTAATTAGACTGTGTTTTGATTGTAGATTTAGATAAAAATTTAAAAAAAAAAAAGAAAAAAATGTGAGTGAAGTATAACTAATTTTATTCACATTTTATATATATATTTTTTATTTTCCTCCTTAAATCACTATCAAAATTCATTAACCAAACACAATATTAAAACACAACATGTACTTCCCGATCACCATATAATTTTGGAGAAATTACATTTCAATTGGATAGTGGAAAAATAATATCATTTTTACGGTAGTATAAATTTTTTGTGTATATTGGGTAAGTCTATCTTATATTTGGTATAAATTTTTCATGTATGTTAAATTTACATAAATATATATATATATATATATATATGTGAGTAAATTACAAATATATCCTTAAGATTTGATTAAAATATAAATCACTCTCTTTGATTTTAAAAATTACATTCTACCTCCTGAGATTTCTAATTTCAAAACAATTCGTCATTTTCATTAATAAATCATGAAATCAATTAATTATTTTTAATGATGTTAAAAATATGTTTTAATTAACAATTTAAATAATTTTATTATTGTATCGGAGAATAATTATAAATTTTATTTTTTAAATTAATTCTGTTAATTAAATTTTTTTGATGATAGGGTACTTTTAATTTTCTAAAACATAGATGATAATCTATATTTTAAGTAAATCTCGATGATGTATTTATAATTTACTAAAAAAATATTTTATCCACAATACATTATTTTAAAACTATCGTGCCTATGTGTAATCTCCCCTATAATTTTCGCAGGCTCACCCTACATTTCCCATAGCTGGCAGCCTGGCAAACAGACCCTTGTGATGTTTGGCAAGTGAGCAAGAAAGCGTGGAAGTAGTGAAAATTGCAAGTGGAAATAGAATAATTAAATAATTGTGGATAAGGATGAAGACTAAGTAAATGTGGGACCCTTCGAGATATTATCCTTGAGTAGATCCGATGTATCGGAGTAATTATTTGATAGTTTTAGTTTCTGTTTGAAAAATAAAAATAAAAAATTTAATTGGTTTATTTAAGTTGAAACTTTTTTGATTTGAGATTAAAAAATTTATTTGAGTTGGATTTTTTTAATTTTTAAATTTTTGTACAAGAAAAAATAAAATAATTCTGATATAAATGCACATTTTATTTTATTAATTTTTTAGTCTATTTTATATTTTAGAAGCTAATGTAGCCCCAATCACTTTAGCCAAACAAAGTCTTAAGCCATTATTTAACATTATTTATCATTGAACACTTATTCATAAATTCCTCTCTCACCTACTTATGTTCAAAAGTTTAAATTTATTTTTTTATGTTTTAATAAATCTTGTGAGTAACATAGTTATCAAAATAATTTTAATAATAATATTTGTATTGACAATGTAAATATTTCGTGATATAAACATTCACACCGTTAATGTAAATGTTCATACTATCAATGAGAACATTCACACATCAATATAAATATTCATATTATAAAATATGAATGTTCATATTACCAAGTTGTTAACTGTTCAAAAAATATTTATAAAGATAAAATTATCTATAAATTATCTTAAACATGACAAGTAGAATTTGATTAATCAAATGTCTAAATAATAGAATTTTTTAAAATATAAAAATATATTATAAACTAATTAAAATACAAGTACTTAAAAAATGATTTCCTAATAAATTTTCCTTATCATTAGACACTTGTCAAGTTTTCTTTTATAAAGTCAATAAAAAATAGTAAATCTTACCATTTTAATTAATGAATATCAAATTAAAATATTACATCAATAATACTACTTCTTCGGTCTCAAAATATTAGTTATTCATTATATTTTTTATTGCTCCAAAATATTAAAAAAAATTCAAAAATCGAGGACCAAAATAACATATTTTTTTTTTATTTTACCCTTCTTTTAAATTTATTAATATTAAGGAAAATGTTTAAGACCTTCATAAATCTTTCACAATTCAACCCGTAATAATGTAATCTGATAAGTGTCAATTTTTTATTAGTTAAACAATCAAGGGCAAATTACACTAATGATCCCTCTAGTTTGGGACTTGTATCACTTTAGTCTCTAACTTTTCATTTGTGACACATTTGACACTAAAATTTTAAATCTTGTTCCAAATAAAGACAATTGAAGATTTCATTGCTCAATTTTAAGGGCAAAGTCGTCAATTTGATAAAATATAAACTAATTTTACAAAAATAAATGTCAACAAAATATTTTTGAATTTTTAAAAATTATTTTTACCTACCAAAGAAAACATTATGCAAAATTGATAAATCTTTTACACATTTATTTATTTACTTTTTTACCAAATTAATTTTTATTATGTGTTTAGATGATGATCATATAATGGGTGATTGTTTTTATTTTCATTAAATTAGTTTTTATTTTTTTCAAAAGTCAAATATGGCGACAACTTTGATATCATTATTAAATTAATCCATTAAATCAAAAAATTCAAAACTAAAAATATTTAATATATTAAATATATCAATTACATATTAAAAGCCTAATAATCACCCATTACATGATTATCATCCAAACAAATAATAAAATTAATTTGGTAAAATAAATAAATAAATAAATGCCTAAAAGATTTATCAATTTTACATAATTTTATCTTTGGTTGGTAGAAATGATTTTTAAAAATTCAAATATATTTTTTTGACATTTATATTTGTCAAATTAGTTTATATTTTATCAAATTGACGACGTTGCCCTTGAAATTGAGTAATGATATCTTCAATTGTCCTTATTTGGAATAAGATTCAAAATTTAGAATCAAATATGTCACAATTGAAAAGTCGGAGACCAAAGTGATACGAGCCCCAAATTATAAGGGCCGTTAGTGTAATTCACCCAATAATCAATGACATGTGACCCACCACCCTTGTCATATCATTATGGATACATTTGTGAATGCAAAATATAAGTCTCTAGCATTGTTGTAACATTAATATACATAAAATGTATAATTATGACAATTGATATTCTCAATAAAAGTCAAATAATAGTTTTGAAAAATTAGTCAGTGTGTTTGGTTTTAATTTTTTAAAAATTGAGTGGTTTTTTTTGTTTTTTATTTTTATTTTTCGTGAATATTTTTAAAATTTCAAACAATTGTTTTAATTTTTTAGATGCACATTATTTAGATGTATCTAAAAGTAACATATTTGTAAAAAACTATTTTTAAAAATCAATAAATACACAAGAAAACGAAAAATATATTGAATTTTCATTTTTTTTTTTTGTGTTTTTGGCATTTAGTGATTTTTTAAAGATTATTTTTTTCACAAATATTATATTTTTTAAGTATATTTATGTTAGGTGTATTTAAATTTTTTAAAAAAAAATACTTAAAACATTAAAACAAAAAATCAATAAAAACAAAAAAACATAGAAAACAAATAATTTTAATTTTCTAAAAAGTGAATCTTGAGTTTCAAAACCAAACAAGCTCAATATTTTTTAAATGTAACAATTATACTACTAAACAAAAGTTGAATTCTCCAAAAAAAGAATTAATATTTGGAAAAAACAACAACAAATCCGAAGTTTAGATAGTTTGTACCATAAAATCTTGTAATTTATTTTGTACATTGAAAGGTCCCAAGTCAATGCTATTTACACTTAAGCCCACGAATATCAAAACACCCAAAAACATATCACCTTGCTTGTTTCCTCTTTTCAGAAAACACTTTTCAGAAAATTCTACTTTCTTATTTTTCGTGTTTTTTGTTTTTACTGAATTTTTTTAATATTTTAAGCAATTTTTTTTACTTTTTAGACACACCTAACATAAATACACCTAAAAAGTAAAAAATTTGTAAAAAAATTCTTTTAAAAATTCACTAAATACCAAAAATATAAAAAAAAAATACAAGAATTCAGTATATTTTTTGTATTTTTATGTATTTATTAATTTTTAA